ACTGCTTTGTGGACAGAAGAAACGCACAACAAACAAAATTATTGACGTGGACAGCTTCAATGCTGCATTCATTTATCCTTCCAATGATCTCCTGTCTGCGTACCCCGCAGACCACCTAGTCTCCCATGGGAAGGTCTATCATCTTAAAACTATGAAAATCACGATCGCAGTTGGCCCCAATGATCTATCTTCGTCATTGTTCAGATATGGCTCCAGCTCAGTCACAGAGATGTTTACGTCCCTTATCAACCAATTCATTTACATATGTTTGATTCCGGATTCCTGGAGACCCTTCACCATTGTTCCTACTCCTGAACCCTATTCACCTAGCATTCTATCCAAACGCATTCGTCCTATCACCGTCACCTCCTCTGGACTTAAACTTGCAGAGCCCGCTATTCCCACCCGCTTACAGTTTCCCTGACTGAGCATCAGGGCGGTTGATGGTCCTATTTGAGTACTATCTGAGTCCCACTAAGACTACGCCGGTAACCACCGTCCCATTAGAGTCCTATTTGAGTCCCGTCGGGACTGTACATACTTAGTTTTAATGTTATACAAAAAATGAACCAAATAAATTACTGAAATGATAAATTAAATACTGAAAACCATTGAAATTGTGTATTTTAGTAGCGGTTAAATCAGCTCACAGTATGTTTAAATGAACTAGTTTTACATGCGTATGTTTGGCACTATAGTGCCATACTTGTTGTTTTAACAACAAGTATGGAATGGAATTGACTTATGTTGCGAAGTTGGTGGTCGGTAAGCGTGCTTTATTATGTAAGTGTGTACCACTATGAAAAAGAACTTCCCGGGTGAAACTCACGCCAAAGTACGTGAAAGAATACAAAGATGAATTCAGAAAGCCCGGGAAAAGACACACAGAACAGAGTGCAACAAAGAAAACCAACCAAAAGATTTTTCTGATGGTCAATAAGGAAATCTTGTACAGCTTTGATGTCAAATGCACACTTCAATGTGCCCTTTGTATTACTTCTTATATTGAAATAGGGGTTTCGGGTGGTAAACGTCATAAGTGGATTACGTTATTCAACGATTAGGATGATGCACGATAAACTAACATTGGTGGGGATTAAATTTAGATACATATCATGTAGTTCGTGTGTAAGCATGTGCGAGCTTGGAGAAATGTAAGTGATGCTTAATAGAATGTAAGGCATTCCTTTGGGGAGCCGCCCCATAGAGTCCTATCCGAGTCTCATACGAGTCCCATTGGATTCCCGCTTATGGTGCAAACGGACTCCAATTGGACTGGGATAGGACTCTGGAATCGGAGAATCAAGACTTCAAGACGCCTGTGTGTCTCGAAGTAGGACGGCTGTGCGGACTATGCCATTTTCTCAAGTAACAATTATTCACCTGTCCAGAATCTGGTGCAACGGAAACAATACAAAAGTGTGGGAGTCATTTCACTTTATGAACGCTGGTTAGAGCCAGATTTTGAGGATGATTTGGTCGGATTGGACGCCTTTCATAATTTCAGGAGTAATGAGATCGTGAAAGTTCGCAACAGAGGTGGCAGAGTGGTCACTTTCGTAAATCGAAGTTGGTGTAAGACACTCGTTCAATTTTTTTCAACTCAACGGGTAAAATTATTTGTCTCTCGTTGAAACGCAAGCGTTCGAATCTTTGAGGATTTTCAACAGAACTCTCGGAAAGTTCATTTGAATGGTTTTCATCTGAAATAGACTCAGAAAGAGAAGGGTTAGAACATTCTCAATTGGGAGTATTACAAATCATTTGGTCACTGTCTGTGATGGACTGACCCGTCATCTAAGTCAAGAAGTTGATACATTATTTGACCAGCAGCTGATCAGACCGTTTTTCATTTTCATTTTGCGGTTGTGATATATCGTGTAAATGGAAAATGAAAAACGGTCTGATCAGCTGCTCGGTGACGTAGTGGGTAGCACACTTGTGTTCTGCCCATAAAGTCCCGGGTTCGATCCCCAGTCAGGTCGATGGATTCGCACTGCTGATGGGACCCAACCAGGTCGAAGCAGCTGTCCAAGGCTTCCGAGCTTTTCAGTTCACGCTTCAGTTGTTTTATACACGACGAATTGCCATTTGAAATATACGATTTTTGAATAATTTGGCCGGACTGCTCCCAATATGAGTTGAGTTCGTGTACTGCATGAGGAAATTATCAACTCCCCTGTCTAAATCAGAGAAAGTAGAAATGTGGCAGGATGCAACTGAACTTTTCAATGTCCGGACATAGTTTTGTGTTGCACCAGTTGACTGTGGGTGTCGAGGTGGAGTTAGAACATGTTGACAGCCAGTGGATTTCAACCAATCCGTCACGCTCTTTGCTGTGAAGTGACTACCATTGTCAGTGACGACAGCTTGTGGAACACCCTCCCTGCTGGACGTCTTCCGGAAAGCAGATATAGTGAATTCTGCGTTGGGAGACGTAGTGAAATAAACCTCAGGCCAATGTGAATAAGAGTCAATAATCACTAGGGTGTGGTATTTGTTTAGGAAGGGACCACAGTAATCGGCATGCACTCACTGCCAGGTTTCAGAAGACATTGGCCAAGGAGTCCACTTAGATGGTTTTGTGCGAGCTTTGTGGATGCAGTCAGTACATGATCTGGACACTCGATGCAAATCACTGTTAAGCTCCGGCCACCAGCAAGTCAAACGTGCAAGTAATTTCATCTTCTCAATACCGAGATGTCCCGAATGCAAGTCACTCAGCACTGCGGAGCGTAAAGATGGAGGAATGATTGTTCCGTCATTGAGACAGAATATTCCATCACAAGTTAATGAGAGTTCTTCACGGCATTTATAAAACTCTGGGAACCACTGCTTGGTGTCAGTTCGCCAACCGTGTCAAACACAAGAAATAACCGCATTATAGTATTTCTTTGTCTCTCGGACTAGATAGGATCGACCAACAGGAAGTGGTTGTATCAGCAAACAATCAGATGTACCAGGCTCCTCCGACAAAGCATAACGCGATAAATAGTCCACGTGTTGAATCATATGAGCCTTGCGATGTTGAATATCGTAAGAATAACCGGCTAGTGCGACGCTCCATCGCTGTGTAGTGTGGCCGATTGTACGGTGAAAGCCGGACAATAGCAGAAATTTACCGGACACCACTTTTTATCTACAATCTAAATGTACGTTAAAATTTTCTCTTCAGTACCAACGCCATGTGACGTTTGTTTTATACGATTGAAAACTGCTGTATCCTTCCGCGAAGGGAACTTTCACTTTTTCACTTTCGCTCCGTTTTGCTCGTCATCGCGCTCGTTGGTTCGCTCACCTTCGTGCTTTAACGCAAACGTTCGTTAGCCGGTACCGGTACTTTCTCCGTGCCACAGTACCTCAATAAACGTCTACAACCACAAGTTTGGTTTGACCAGCTGTAACGTGGTTATGCTGCGAGCTCGGGGGTTCCCGTTATGAAGCGCGTCACGCTCGGTCGTAGTTGACGTTACTTCAATTGGTGAGCCCGGCGGAAAAATCTTTTTCCTCGGTAAGTCTGCGATTTTGTCGCGGTTGCACGATTTATATATTTTCAAGGAATATATTATCGCAACTTTATGTCATCCGACAATAAGACACGTTCAACCAGCCCAGACCTAACCTTTAATACGGTGGCGTTTCGTCCGATTCCTTTCGTCCCTCATGACCCCGAGGTTTGATGAGCAGCGTTAGAGCTGCAGTTTGCACATAGAAATGTTGAGAACCAACGCACAATGTTCGCGTTGGCACTGGAAGCCATCCCGGGCGATCAGCTGTCTTCTTTGCGGGATTTAGCTTTGAATCTCCCTCAGGAGTACCCTTTTGACAAATTGAGATCAGCCATCCTCGATACTCTCCTCCCATCTGAGGAGGAACGGCTGCGGAAGCTATTGGCACGTCACCCAATGGGTGACGCCAAGCCGAGCCAGCATCCAGCTCACATGAGATCCCTCGCCAGACCTCACGATGCCCATTCGGACATCGTCAGGGAGCTATGGATTGAGTCTCTACCGGTCCAGGTCCAGATCACGGTGACAGCACTCTTAGAAGACACTTCGCTCGACAGGGTAGCTTCCATTGTAGATAAGATTTTGGCCCGGGTTGGCAACGCTGAGCCTTTGCTCGTTGCCATGACTTTCCATCATGAAACATTGGGTCCCCTTTATCCAATTCGTTAGAACAGAGAGAAGACAAATACTGCGAGATGTTAACAGATTGTTTTACGTTGTAGCGACTGAAGAGATTAAAAGAAATGTTAACATCTCGCAGTATTTGACTTCCCATCAGTCTACCCCGCCACGTTCTGCAAACCACACTGTATTCACGAGTGCATATCCTTTAAGGATAGAGTCCCCAACCCACCTCGCACGTCGCTAGGGACTGGGCATGCCGTGGGCGCGCTAAGCCCATCCTCCTCTCGACCCAACGTCCCAAGTCTAAACCCTCAAAATCGGTTAGGGCCGGGTATCGCTGGTTCCATAAAACTTATGGACCAGGTACCCGCAGATTTAAGCCTCCGGACCACTAACATATCTGCAGCACCAAACACTTCATCTCCTCCACCCCTAAGTGGCCTTTGTGCAGATGTAGCACTGCCTTACGATATGGAGATGGAATAATCAATTGTTCGCTGCTTCATATTATTCCGTCGGGTGATACACTGATTTCTTCCCGGTAAGCGCACGATGGTGGGAATCTCCGCTTTCAGGTCTGGACACCAACCTTTTGATAAGGCTGCCATGATCTCTGCGTAGTATCGCTTGGTGAATTTGCGCAGCTCCTCTCACGATACCGGGGCTACTGGCACAATGAAAAGGCACTTCTTGGTTGCTGAAAATCTGGACCATTGGGAGAGAAAATCGGTCGGAGGAATCGTTTTGCCTGGGCGTTGCACTATGTCGTTCGTAGTTCTAGACAGGCAGTACAATGTTCCATCGCTGAATCATCGCCGTTGTCGGTTCGGAAATCGACTTTTGTGGACTGAATATGCATTGTAGTGCTTGGTGATCGGTCACGATGATAAAGCGCAATGTGGGCGTCGGACAGCCAAATAAACAGCCTATGCTCCCTTCTGCGTCTGCGAATATCCTCTTTCTGCCATGTTCAGTGGGTGAGAGATGCAGACAATCGGACATCCGTCCTGTTCGAGTACGTCACCAATACCTACATTTGACGCGTCCTCAATCAACGTTGGATGTTTCGTCGGGGAAAACGAGGCAAATACTGGTCGTTATCATCTGAATGATTTCGCACAGAATTTGTTCACATTTGGCTGCCCACGTCCATTCTGCTACCGATAGACCTACAAACAGCGGTTGAGCCTTTGTAGTGAATTTCGGGATAACACGTGAGTAGTATTGGAGACAACTCATGATGGACCTCAGTTAATCTTCGTCTTTCGATGCTTCCATTTCAGTCAAGGGACGAAAACGACCACGATTAGGACTGTTAAACTGTGGTGATCGTGTAACGAGTACTCACGCACCGCGGTACAGCTTCCAGGTAACCAATCAAGAAGCGGGTTAACCGACCAACCCTGTGGTCTCAATTGGCATCATCCGGATTGACTGAGTGCAAGAAGGCAAACAGATAAACCATATCCTTGTCGATTGAACATTCAAGAATCGACCAATGATTGTTTGTTGCCTGTAATATATATTTCCATGATTTTGTTAATAGAATTAACTGTATCTATAGCTCGCTTTGGTTCTACCTGGCTTTGCGTTATTCAGTGGGTTCTCAGTCCGATACCGAGTTCGCGCTATTCAATTTCGATTCCTATTCCGAAGACTACCGAAACCCAAGAATTTCAATTCCGGAGAGCTAAACATGCATTTGGAGGCCCGAATGGACACATTGTTTTGAGCAAAACGCTCCAATAATTGGAGAAGTCTGTTGTCGTGCTTAGCCTTCGTTGTAGCAAACACAATAACATTGTTTTTATATGCCAACACACCATCGAGGCCACGAATGACTTCGTCAATGGCTGCCTGGAATATGCCTGATGAAGTATGTAGACCAAACGGTAGGAAGTTGTATTGATACAGTCCCCACGGCCTGTTGACGGTAGTGAATTGTCGGCATGCTGGAACTAGAATAATTTGAAGATATGCGTCTGCCAAGTCGATTTTCGAAAAGCACGTACTGCCATGCAATGCTTTCGTGAAATCTTTTGGTTGCAGGCTGGTGGCGGCATATTTTCTCAACCGGGGGTTCAGGTTCAGCCGATAGTTACCGCAACTTCGTGATGTTTTACGGTCGCTTTTGATGGCTACCAAAATTAGTGTTGCCCGCGCTTGACGTAACGCGAGTGGTGATACCATCACCCTCCATATCCTGGATAACCTTCAATACATCTTCACGTTGGCCATATGGGATTACGCACCGTTTCATAAAGATTGGTTTATCGTCAACTTCCAATTTGGCCGGCTGAACGTTCGTGCCTCCTGTATTGTCGGAACATTTCAGGGTCAAGCGTGGTTGATGCATGTGCACATTGAGTGCGGTGCTGGTATGAAGTGACTGTGGTGATCCCAGTCTGCGGGATGATGCTTACCCTGGGGCGACGCGTTACAGTTTTGGGACAACTGAGATCAATCAGACTTCACGGCTGACGTCAACAATGCGCGTATGTGTCACAGCTTCTGCACTACATACCATAAGTAGATTGTACCAGCCAATCAGAGACCATGCGGCCCAGACAGAAGCAGAGTGATGCAAGAAATACTGGAACGCGATTGGCAGAAGCCCGGATGACCAGTGAGTTTGTTTCGTACGTATTACTTAATCCCCTCATTCATTTCAATAAACGAACTACTACTCCTGTGGTATTTTCCTCGCTTCTCGGTTGCGTGGGTTATTGTGTGCAAGTACCGGTGTGGCCCAGTTCTTACGTGACGTCCGTGACCGCTAATCAGTGATCCGTATTCTGTGATTTGTGTTTCGAGCTCATTGCGTGCTACTACTGCCATTAGTACAACCACTACTATAACACGGAATGGTGACTAAAAGAAGTACGGATGGACTGCTATTGGCAACCAAGAAGCGTAAGGAAAAAAGCGGTTCTCTGTAGAGTGAAACTTTACCAATCGATGGCAGTTTGTGTCCCGTCACACAAGGATTTGCACAGACTTTGGACGGATTTTGACTTGGGGACAGATCGATCGAAGCACTTCAGTAGAAACTATAGATTCCGTACTTCCTGTGTCTACAATGAATTTGTGCTTCGTACCCGACTGTAGTGTCCCATCTTTGTATAGGAATTGGACACACTGAATTTCATTTCGTGGGGAGAGCACAAGACTTGTGTCTTTTTCGGCCAGTGGAGGTCGGATTGGTCTCTATTTCTGCTTCACTGGAAGTCGCTTGTATGAGATCTACACGTTGTTCACAGATTTCCCGTGCCTCTGCGAACGTTAGATCCTTCTTCTCTAGCAACATCCATTGAAGTATCAAGTTGTTTACACCTGCAGCAGCAATCTCTTCAAGGAATCGTGTGGTAGCTTTGCCGGAGCCTCAGAGAATGCCAGGTTCTTGAGCTAGAAGTGGAGGTCACGACCGCCAGCAGTGAGAAACATTGCTGATTGGTTCTGCGCACCAACTTTAAGAAAACTGCACCACAATTTGAACCATTCTACCCATTCCTGGATCTCGGATGGACTAGCACACAGGTTCATTTGTTCTATAGTTGGAAGCTCCATCGCGCCACGCAAATTGTAACGGTTGGGGTAAGCACCGATGACGGATTACGTATTAAGGATCACGAATCGCGTATTAGGAATCACGGACACTACGTAGGCACTCAATTATAGTGGCACTTACAAGACGGTATCCCACGTAGCCGAGGCGCAAGGAAAAGACCACATTAGTAGCAGTTCATTCATTGAAAGAAATCATTGGGCTTAAATAAGATTTAGAAAAGAAGTTTATTGGTCATTCGGGTATCTACCAATCGCGTGCTCGTATTCCTGGCGTTGTACAGTTTCTGTCTAGGCTGCACGGCTTCGAATTGCTCGGCATAATCGGCCTTAGGTTTGTTGTCTAGAAGCTGTTGTACTGACCAACCAACTCCCATTCTACATGTACCCTTCCTCCTTTGCATCTCATTGTTTTACCACACCAAGGCCACCTCTTCGGTCAGCACGTGTTTGCTTTCACTTTCCGCAAGCTTGCTCACGCTTCTGTATCTCCCTTTTGCTCTGCAGATCATATAACAATACACCCGTCCTCCGTTTCTTGAACTCTCTGGGTCTGCTTTCGTACGAATGTTCGCTTGCGATATAGACGTATTAGCTCGGGGAACCGATACGCCAGTGTCTACTAATTGGTGAGCCCTCTTATTTTATTTTATTTACGTTGGAAATTTGTTTTTGGAGAAATTTTATTTTCTCTGGGTCACATTTCTAGTAAATTTCAGCACATATATTTTTACGGATCTGCTCTCGTTTCTCGCACTTCTGGAATCGCGATCCAGTGAAGCCCACATCACCGGGCAACTGTCACGTTACCAAAAACTGTTTTCCGCGGGATACAACTGGTGAACCGTAAGCCGTCCCAGTTACTGCGAGAGATGCGTGCGTTAGTAGACAACACAAATTTAGACGACTCTGTAATACGTCAGATCTGGCTCCAGCTATTCCCCCCTTACGTAGAGAGTATACTTAACGTCTTCGCCCATGCTCACAGTCTCGACGAACTAGCTCAAGCTGCGGACCGAGCCATGGGGCAAGCTGAACTTTATCAGCCGACGATGACGAACGTTGGGAGCCATGAACCAAACAAGGTTCACCAGGTGCTTCCGAATTCAGCTCCGTTAAGCTCTCCAACGAGCCCGCGATAGAAGTGCAGCTTGTCTAAGCAGTCGG